GTTGATAATGATAATGCAGAAACACAAATAGCTAGATTTTTTCATGTTAGCTTTGTTTGTAATGTTTTAAGAAGTTTCATAGAAATAAATTTCTATCTAATTGCTAAAAACATGGCTGCAATTGACATATATGTAGTCAGGCGTAAATAAAAAATACTTTTATATTCTACTTTGAACGCAGTAACAGGTAGTTGCCGCTTCCGTTGCGATTGCAATGAATTTCAAAAAAAATGATTCTTGTAGGAGTAATATAAAACTAGCATCGCAGACTGCAATTGAAGATGTGTTGTTGTTTTTTTCTTTTTTTCTTTTCTAAAATGCTCAACTGCTCATTTCACGGTGTGATAACAGCGAGTTTAGCTGTTTTTGATGGCATTATAACAAGAAAAGACTCCAGCATATTGTAGTCGATTGAGATTATCGTAATTCGTAAGTTGTTGTTCGTTTCCGCATTTCCAGTGTGCATTTAATCAATTTGAAGTTTATTGAGAAATTTTATAATTATTTCTATTTCGAAGGACGCGACTTGTATGCATGTTTTCAACACATAACGATGGGATTGAAGAGTAAATTTGCTAACATGGCGAGCATGCTGCTACACTAATGATGTCATTTAGCGATGAGTGTAGAGTTATAATATCGATTTAAAAGTGTAGAAAAAAAAAACAACATTAAAAAGGAACTGATGGATTACATACATCAGTTTATCCGTCTATTGTTGGCCATTTTAAAATGCACAAATCTACACATCACTAATGAAGTCATTGCAATTTGGTGGACCAGGTTTACAAAAAAGTCTAAAAATCCCACAAAAATGTTTTTCTTTTAATGTTGAAATAAACAGACATTTTTAATATAATCGAAATTTCGAAGGAATCCTCATGATGTTATTATCCCCACGGATGCTCGCCCCAATTTAAGAGTTACGTTGACGGGGAACGCAATAACTGTCTTCTATTCTATAGGCACCACGGGTGACTTTACTCAGACGTTTGCAAATTTAATATTAAGATTTTAACGTAACGTTCATTGCATTAAGGATGCGCTAAGTCGCTATCGTTTTTGCGGGTTAAAAGTCCATTTTTTTAGAATGTTTCTTTTATTGTTTTGTTAACTTGGAAACTTGCATAGAAATCGAATTTCAATGAAAGCGTGCTATCTTCTCTTTAGAACTGAAGCAATGAATGAGTAATTATGCTTATGAAACTTTATTTTCGTTTTACGTTTTGCAACTTCTTTAACTCGCCATTAGGTATGCGGTCTTTGCTGCATTGCGTGTTAAGCTTTAATTAAAATTGGCTAAATAGATTCTTTGTCCGCTTTAATAAAGTTTATTTTTTTAATTTACTGCAACTAGCAAGAAGAACAAATTATATTCGGCTCACTTCGAATTTTTTTAGCGCCTATCGCTATTCTCCAGTTAAAATTCTCAAGAATTTTACACAAGCGTTATGAATTGTACAGTGTCCATTTACTTGTCAATTAATAAGAATACCTGTCTGCACATATGATATATAATGTAAGAGAGAAGCAAATAGTTTTACACATTTCGTCTTAATATATTATGGCCTAAAATCATGTTTTTAAATAGTTTTTTTCAATCGTACACAAAGTACTTTTGCAATCAAAGAAAAAGTTATGTTTAATTTATGTTTCATTTTTAAGATATATTCCTATATTTGCAGCGTAGAAGGAAAGTGCGCACATACAGAATATGTTTGATTCCACAGACCTTATGTTTATAAACTTTCCTAACAGCTTATAAGTGAACAATTTTCCAATTTAAAATTTTTATCACATGTTCCGATATGTTTATGTATCAAACTTGCCGTCAATTCAGTCGATATTCGAACTTCAAGCATTAATTTTCATAAGAGCAAACTCAAAACTGTTAAGAACAAGTTTGAGACTATCGTTTAAATCCTATTTTTGATACTTTGCGAACGGATGAGAACTAGTCGACTTACCAAGAAACCTAACTCTAAATAATGGTAAAAGAAATACACATTCATGACGCTTTACTTGCTTCAAGATTAACAAAAATTCTCAAAACATTTCGCGGAAAGAGAAGTTAATGCAATGAAAAAATGTCACAATGAGGTTGGGAGCCGGTAACTTGGTTATGAAAGAGCGTATAAGCAGAACATTTGTGAAAGACAAAGCGTGTCGAGTCAAGAGAATTGAATTGTAATATTCAAACGAGTCTTTGCTATCGTAAAAATTACAAATCCATGATACGAATTTAATAACAAAAGGAGTTGAAGAAAAACATAAAAATCACGAAACGAGTTAAGTTACAAGCAACCCACACGTTGAGATCGAAACCGTATAACACGCATATAAATTTGAGACCTGAAAGCTGGCCAGTGTAGCTACGGTCAAATCGCGCCTTTTTCTCTTATTGACATTTGACACAAGCTTGACAAAGTTGTCAACTCAAACTGATACAAGTTTCATATAATAGCATAGTTTGTAATAGCATTAAAATGGCTAAGTTTTCTGTCATAAAAAGACAATCATTTTTCCTTGAACGATAGAAACGTAAGCTATTTTGCATTGTACGCTTACTCGGGATGAAAATTGGATTTATTTTGACAACTCCAGGATGCAAAAATATACGGGCAGGCTGAAGCCTGCCATCCGCGTCCATCGCGAGATCAATTTCCTACAACATGAAAATGACATTCTGCATTCTGGTAGAAACGGAAGGAGAAAATCAATCTATCCATCCATTTATATTTTAAAACCGATTCACGAGACGTTCGAAGTACTCAATTGGTAGCTGCTAATCCATGCCGCTAATTCACCAGCCTCAAGTCGTCCCGATTAATCTTTGTTTGCGGAGAGTTGTCAATACTTTGAATAAAATATTTTCATACAATAAGCCTGCATTCTTTTCCTATACAAAATTCCGGTTTCATATTTATACATCTATGCCCTAATTTGTACATACATTGAAACTATTGTTTCAGAATTATAAATGTTTTTTAAGAAATAACACGATTGGTTTAATGGAAATGTTTACGCTTTTTGGCAGATTGCGATGCCTTTCCTTTCTATCTTCCAAATATAATGTAATTTAGTATAAGACGTGAATATTAAAGACTGTTCTTTTCAAAAGCAAGTAAAAATTGGTTGAACCTAAGGAAAAAAGATCAACCAGAAAGAAGAAGATTTTGAAGACCAAAGTATTCGCAGCGGAGCTTCAGAAGCCATTTACCGCACGTTCTTCCTTTACTCTGGATGTATATGCTTTTTGTTTGAGAATATGAGAAACAGAGCTTACACGAAAGGGCAAAGGCACAGAAAAAGGACGTCTATTAGAATTTCAGAATAGAATTTTATAAAGTCTTAGTAATGCAATAAGAGAATAAATTAGAAAACTTTTAAGAACATATTAAGCCGTGTATTCGATTAGCACATATTTTAAGCATAAATGGTGAGGGATGGTTAAAAGTTCATTGTAAAATGCATTCTTTTCAATCCGTAATTTTCTCAATAATTAATTTTAATATTTAATTAAAATTGATACGGTTTCCACATCGCACTTTCGCATACTTTTTTCCTTTGTTATATTCAACAATGAAAAAAGTATGATAATAACAATTAAATTAATTACCTCTTTACTACAAATAAATGAATAGTTTATGCTTTGACGCTGACATCTAACTTGAACTTTATTACGAACAAAAAGCGTTTTTATGACTTTTATGGAATCGACTAAGCTAAAATAGCTTTTGCATTGTTTTCTAAAAAATGCGCGTACGCACAGGTATGTTCGTTTTGGCATTGTATTTGCAAAATCTATATAAGCGGATATAAACCGACATACCAACTGATATAAACCAAATTAGTTTCATATATTCTACGGTGAACTGACATTTTAAATCAATGTGACCCCAAGGAACGTAATTGTAATATGCAGGTAGTGATATGGAGAATAACGTCGAGCATGTACGCAGCCGTACGGACTAGCGTAATTATGAAATCGGCTAATACGCGGAAGTCTTGCCAAAGTATACAACAATAGCTACTTAGATCAATTTAAGTTGCAATGGAGAGGATAAGGACTTCACCACGGCCTGACTTTAAAACCGCAGTAGCGTTTACGGCGAAGGCTATTTCACTTTCATTTAGTGTGTAACTACCTCTACACAAGGCGTCAATAATCGAAAACCGAGTTACGCAGCAGTCTATTATGTAGACATTATAGAAAGATTTTTTAGGAAATTGGTAAACGCGATGTAATATTTGCACTTCTCTAAACCCTTCCACAGTATGTTAAGAAAGCCGTCTTTTCTCCTTTATCCCTTCAAGTTTGTTCACATATTTTGAAATGCTTTTATGCACAATAGCTAATACGCCGAAACAACCTTTAAAAAAAGTTGAAAATGAAATCTGCCTCTCGATATTTTGTGCTATACGGCGTCTATAACCTGCAACCTACATATATTGATGTGAGAATCGGTTCAAATATTTATTAAAGGAAGAACCTTCAATACGTCCATATCATCAATTTTACAATTCGCTTTACAATTCTCTGCCCTTTTTTATTACATTTTTTGGATTTATTAAGCTTGTGCGGACGTATACAACACCCAGAAGAACTTGGGATAGATACACATTTAATACACTGACCTTGTCTGTCCGTGTGTTCGTCTTTTCTTCCAAGTACAGCTGTTTCGTCGAATTTGGTACATCACTGACTTGGATTCAAGGACGAACGCTGTTGAAGATGGTTCAGATCGGACTACGTTTTCAACCAACTTACTTACTTTAAAAAGTCGTTATAAATAAATGTGTTCACGCGAAGTGGTGTAGTGTATCCAATAGTGGGCCGTGGTCCTCTATAATATTTTATTTGCCTTCAGCATAAAGAAATATCTCGTAAATATCGTTACTTTATAAAGCTGTTGATTATGTATTTTATGATTTCTTTAATAAGCTCAGATTAAATTTTCTCTTAAAAAGTGATGTTAACGTAATATTTTTCTACTTACCGACCAAACTCAGGCATATTAAAACTATTAAAAACGCTTTAATTAGAGAAATTAAATACATGACTTTTTGGATACTGTTTAGCTTCGTCAGGTGGTTTTGTTCTAAACGGCTTGATAGTAAAAATTTTAATTACATTTTTTCCAACAGTATGCTTGTGGTAAAGGAATTATGTTGTACAAAAGGTTGAATTCCTAAACGCGCGTAGAAATAGATAAGAACAGAGAGAAGGAAGAAGAGAAATTAAATCGTTAAACATATATATAAAAAAGATTTAAAACATTTAATTTATATTTAAATATATATATATATATATTAAGTTAATTTCCTTGTTGTCGATGAGGGATAATGCGGTACATTTGATTTTAGTTGAGATATTTTTAACCGTTGAAGATGACTTAAAGATGTTAAAAATATATAAAGAAATCGTCCTGTTTTGTACATTTTTTGTACGCATTACTGAAGGACAGTCTTGTGTGCCAGTTTGTTAAACAAAGTGCATAGTTCTCAAAAGCATTTGCGTTCGTCATATCGCGCTGTTTTTTTTTTGTATAAAACCTTACGATAACAAATATCGAAAAATGTAGTTGATCATATTCTTGATTAAATCCAAATTCCAAAATTTTATTTGATTTTATAGCTAAAATATGAATTAATCCCGCCTATCGACTAAGCCGTGTCGACAACGTCAAAAGGGCTTACAATCAAAAAGTATACATAGCATAACTTTATTTGATGTTGTTATATTCACCTTAGTTCTCTTATAACAACCATAATAGGACCGGTTTGCTCAACATATTGTATCCAGTATATAAGCTATGATGTTACGGATTTATCAAAAGCCTATAACGTGTGCGAATCAAAGATATCAAATAGCGGAAACAGGTACATTTAATGAAATTAAACAATTGAATCAATAGATTTTGTTTCGCTGCCAACTAGCTGCAATGGTCATAAGGGGCTAGAAATCTTGTCTAGAAAAGTCTTTTTTCAAATTGTTTCCTTTCAGGCTAAGTTCAAGACTTCGCCATGTCAGTCCATAAGTCCACATTTTTTAAGCAAGCCTGTTTGCCTGTCTGTCTTTCTGGAAAAAGTATCTTAATCTCGAATATTTTCATAAGTTCACTGTTCAAGGACGACTTGTAATCACAGTCAGCAAAACAGCTTAGAGTGCGTGGTGTGGCATTGTTAATGGGTTTCATGTCTAGTTTGTGCAATTATTCAAAGAAAATTGATTTGGAAACGATGTTTCATAGCATTGTGCAATTACATAATTTTCTTCTTTCTTTTCATTTTCTTTTCTTTTCTTAATTAGTGTACGGTCTTCGTCGTATCTTGCAATCAAAAACCGCACATATCTCATGTAGACGGGTACATAATTTATATCTTATGAATCTTTACGATATGACTGTAACCAACTCTTATTTGATGCCTAAACGAGTGGGCGGAATTAATAATACAATCTAAGCTACTGTAACGAAAAAGCATCACGATCGAGTTATCCGAGGCTTGATAAATAAGTTACTGTGGACCAAAGAAATGATAGAAAATAAATTTTCGTGATTTGTGCATAAGTACATTTTTTTGTATAATTGTCGTAGTATATTGCAATTTGATTGTTTGGTTTATTGGCAATAGTTGACATGTTATGAACTAAATAAGATTTAAAAAGAAATGGTTTGGATCTCTGCACTGAAAGTTTAGACCGTGCTTTCAAACCTATATCATGAGCAGGAAGCATTAAAGGTATATAAGTTCCCATATTTGGAAATATAAAAAACGGTGAACTTTCAAGTTATTAAAAATTTCTATTTTACCCTTTTTTTGCTTAATGACGCACTAGCTGCCGTTATTTTAAAGAATCAAAGTGAAAAGAATTAAATTCACATTAAAAAAATAACAAACACAGCGAGTTTAAACAACTAAACAAACATACAAATGTTAAAAGAACTCCCACGTACGTGTAAAAATACAAATTCGTCTGTAAATATATATAGTAGGCCACTAAAGTCTACATACAGTAGAAAAAATTAAGATTTCTCTTATTAAAGCCTGCATTTATGAAATCAACAAAAAATATATTTCTTAAAAAACAAAAACTATTATAGAAAACAATTAAAAAATAAATTTTTTTTTTAAGATAAATTTATAAATAAAAAATATACTTCAATCTCAAAAAATATCATAAAAAATTGCATGTACACTCTATTTCACAAGTGGTTTAATGTACTTTAATGTACTGGATCACCTTTAGCATCTTGGCAATGCTTCCATACGCCTGGTTTCCTACTCCAGCCGCAGACATGCATCCCTGAACCATTACACACCCTCCGCCGTGTTTTACAGCTGCTAATGAATTTTGAATTGCCTTCGTTGTATTAGGTTTCCTCCATACTTTTTATATATCATTCGAAAACGTTGCATTAGACTCGCCACTAAAAATTCCGTTATCCGAAAATTTATTTCATCATATTTGATATATTAATTTTGCTCATGAATGATTTTTTTTACGAAAATCATTGACACTTTCATTGATTTTTCGAACGATTTCGGGTCGGTTACTAATTTGCTTATATTTTTCTAGTTATTTTGCAATGTCAACAGCACTAGGTGTGGGTTCATTTGTTAGCAGTTCTGATAACATTTCGTTTTTCACGATCAATTTGGTCGTAAATTAGTATGTAAAAGTAATTAAATCGATCCCTTATAAGATGCGACCCTTATCCTACCTGGTTTTTCAAGAGTCGCAGTTACTTCGTTACCCTTAAAGTTACCGCGCTAAAATATTCGCAATATAGAATTATGGAAAACAATAAAATATCCGCGGTACAAAAACTATGGAGCAAGTCGTTATCGTTGAATGTAAAACCGAATAACCATAGCATTATACTCATTTAGTGACCCGAAAATTGGACGCTATATGTCAAAAGACATAAAAAAAGTGATGTTTTCGCCACGTTCTCTATAGATTTCAGGTGAAGAAGTCGACGAAAACGCTGCAGAATTTATTTTCTACTTTTATCTCTACTATCTTTTGTCTGTCCGAGCAGATATTCCCTTCTTTAAAGAATGGCGCCTTAATACATAGCGTTAAAAAATGAGAAAGATGGGGAACATGTCACCAAAGGATAATGCTCCAGTTGAAATACATTTTACCGACCTCTAAGAAGCAAGCGTTTTTTCACAAAAAGAAAAATAATAAACAAATAAATAAAGAATATATTGTTTCTCCTTTATCTAGCCAATAGCAAAAATGTCGTGTTAATTGCTTTTCCGATATCTTATGTAGATATCTTCCATCGGACCGAAGTGCATATCTAAACAATTAGGAGGTTGGCCGATATGAACAATTTGCCGTAAATATTGAAGCAAAAAACTAAGCCACTGGAGGATACTTCGGTTCAAATGCAAATATGTTTATTCAAAAAATGATTGGCGAAAGATAGTTGGTTTTCGTGAATTTTGTGTTCACGTATACAACTGTTTCTGTGGACACGCATCCATTTTAAACTACTAGCGTCCAATAACGAGAATCTAAGATACTCTTACGCAGTCATATAGGGTCATCAAATAAATGTTTTTTAATTTGTAATAAAAGCTAAACGTAAAAGATATCCAGACGAATTTTTCTTTGTTTTTATTTTAAATGTTGGTTTAATCAAATGGCGTCTCCGTATTTCTGTAAAAATTCAATCCAGAAATACTAAATTTTTGCCACAAAAAGTCAGTTGTCATACTTTCCCAGTGTTCTCCTGCATTGACATTTTCATGTTGATAAATGACATTTCCAGCCCAAACAAATTGCAGTCAACAGTTATTTTTGCACGCGCAAAGGTTCTCTGGAAACATCACATGTCTTTCTTTTCACCGGGAGGGTCATAATTCGTATTTACGAAGTCATATAAGCAAGTATGAGCTGCCTCCCACATGCATGCGTTGAATTTGTTGTTTTCATAATAAGTTCTAAGAGTTTTGTCTCCTTTACAACTATGTATGTATTTTTATTCCGCAAGTAGTGACAAGGCCCAAACAATGCCCAAATCCAAATCCAAATTTCGATCAGCAGTGAGGTTTATTTACATTTTTTTCGGAACCACAATGTTGATGACATTTCTGATCATCGTAAGGAATAAAATTGATTTCCTCCATTTGTCTATTCGCTTAACTGGCTTAAATAAGTTACCCTCGTCAAATTTAGTTTGATAAGTGAACTATAAATCAGTTTTTAACGTACCCATAAATAGTATTAATATATTAATTAATAATTAACTCGCTATTTTGCTGTTATCATGGGGAGTAAACTTATTTTGTTCTTTTTCATATGATATGTAGCACTCAAAAGAAGCTTTAGAGACCCTATAAAGTACATACATTCTTCGTCAGCGTGAAATTTTGAAATGATTTAGCCATGTCCGGTCGTCTGTGTTTCTCCGTAGCGTTTGTTATTTGCATCGACTTCATATTTGGCAGAAATATTAGAAGTTCTTGCATGCCTGTTGGTATTCAAAATGGGCTAAATCGATCGAACGGCACGCTCACTGTACCACAGAAACTGAGAACACCTCTGTTTTCCAAAAGGAATGAAAAATTTGTTTTTTTTTTTCATTACTCATAAACTACTCCAGATAAATCTATAATAATATGAGCGCATACTCTATAGGCGATGCTATAATACTTGTAAAAAAATCGGCACAATTTATATCGCATACTTAATATTATAACGTATCAAAGTTTAATTTATTTTCCAATATCGCAGAAACAAGCTTCAAAAACCCCATAAACTGCATAAATGCTTGGGCAATTTCAATTTGAAATGCACCTGAACATCTTCGTCTGTTCATCTGCACAACTGTAACAGACAATTACCAGTGTTGGCTTATTAACACTTGTCGGCATTCGGCAAAGTATTTAATACTTTTTTATCATATTTGATTCGGAAACATGACCAATAGAGCACAGTTTTATGGAAATTATTATTTGTTGATCAATGATGTTCGCTCGATTTAAGTCGCAAAGTATGTATTAAGACCGCACTATATCGGTCAGATTAGGTTGGTCAAAGTGATGGGAAAGCTTTTGGATATATAATATTCAATACAGAGTAAGATTGGCATAACGGCATTAGCTAGCCAACCAAATTCATCTTCAATAATAAATTTATGACGTAAAGGTCTACCATTTCTAGCACATATATAAAATTGCTAATAAGTAACGAAATATTTTTAGGTGACCAGACGTCTTGTCGTATAAAGTGTTCCTTCTTCACATAACGGTACGGTATACCTGGCCTTATCTGGTAATAACTAGAGCTGCAACTGCTTAATGTCAAAAAGTTTCCTGCTTGCTCGGTCTACCGTCATTGGTTTCGTCTTAACATAAAAATTCAAAACATATATCGATTTATTTCTTACTCTATAATATTTATTCAAAGTAAGCCATACAATTCCAGTTCATAGCAGGTAGATTTCTTTCTTACTTACTTTCTTTTGCTTTGTGTTTTACTGCCTATTACCAGCCATATCTGAATAATTAATAACTTTCGAAATTGTTGTTCTTTCTCATTAATTATTTAAAAAGTAGAAATTGTTCCGTGTTTTCCTTTTTTTTTTTAATCAAAGTAAAACTCCCCGACAAATGATGGAACAAATACAATTTCTTACTAAAAAAATGAGTAAAAAAATTTATGCTATCATCTTGCCGTTCATTTTGTTAGTCTTAATGCAGGCTACGGGTAAAGTAGTAAGCGATAAAATACCCTGCCATACTACCTTTCGAGTTTATTATTGAAAAAAAAAGTCTACCGCATTTTTTCAAGCGTTTTAGTATAACATGAAATATATAAACGCCATACCAATGCAGAAGTTTTATGTTAGTTTGTGTTTAACTTTTATGAAAAGTTCTTTTTTTCCTTGTCTGTAGGTGTTTGTCTCTACGTGAATGTACTAGAAAAGTGGTTTTTAGAAATATGTTCCTGCAGGAGAACGCTTTTATTCGCGAAAAGATACCAAATGTACATCTGCTGTAGAAGATATATAATGTTTCAAACTGCATTGCCTCTTGAGAATTCATTAATAACTTTACCTAAATTTCATTAACAACCATTTGGAAAAGGATTTATAAGAACAAAATAAAAAAAGAGTAAGCAATACACCTGAATAAGATAATTTCAATATAAAGTTAATTAAATAATCTTTGAATCTAACATTACTTACGTGCATTAAATTACGTTGTGTTAATCCATAATCAAATGCTCTTCATGCTTTTATTAGTCCTTTTTCAATTTGAATGGAAATTTTTTAAAGTGATTTAATTAAATTAATTTTTTAACTTTTTTTTCGATCACGTAATGTATTTTCGCTAGAAGCTGCGAGAGTACTACAAATAAAGTGAAAGATACAAAAATGTACAGTTGCTTGTTAGTATTCAGATTTTCATTCAATATTTAGAATGTTAGGGAATAGAAACTGAGGGCAAGAAAGACAGGCAACCAGATTGCTAAGCCCATTGTAGCATTCCGATGGGAAAATATTTGCCATAACTAATGATCAATACGAAATGAATACAAAGTCTTCGAAGCACGTTAACATTCAAAACTCGACTGGTGTTTTCTGGATTCCTGGCGTAGCAACTTTGGTTTTTGCTAACTTTACACGCAGTAGTTGTCTTTGAATGCTCGTGGCAGTAAGCGTCTCAGTTTGATATTTTAATTTTTATTCATTTGCTGTTGGCCGTTCAGAAATCGACAAAAAAAGGAATACCACATTTGAAGACAAAAAAATGCATTGCGGCAACTCCGTTTAGACTTATCTTTTAATATAATATTTAAATACTGTTATTTAGAGCGCCCAAAAATTCATACGGTAGTGTCTTCCATATTCCAAATATCTTTTTAGGAAACGATGCGCATAAAGCTTTACTCATTTGTCTACTTAAAACCCACATGGTCAATGTACCTTTGGGGTTTGCATATGTGTACTGTATACTATACGCATGTAAAATAGATTTTATAACTATATGTAAACTGTTGGCCTAGAGATGCTACTAACAAGTTCCTTTAACATCTATGACTAATTTCCAAAAATGACTTTTTTTCCAATTGTTTTGGCTCTCGGTGCGTAAATACTTTTTATACTACACTATGCACATCAAATCTACCTAGTTTTTATTAAAAATTTGTTTTCCACTTTTTTTGTTGCCAAATGTGAAGGTATTAAAAAAGCAATTCAAGAGAAAACATAAACATAAAATTCCTTTACGATTATTTTGAGAGCTGCAAAGAACTGTGCAATCAAGCTTGTAATTATTCGTTGGGTTGGCGATGAAGTGTTTACTTAATGCAATATTCTGAAGACAAATTCCAGTACACGTTGTCAGCATTTCCTTTTTCACTCCAATGTATACAAAACATTCGGATTGGATGAAAGATGATTTTTATGGTGACATTTGGGGGAATTTTGAACATATATTCAGAGAAGAAATATATGCGGGGTTTGAGAAAAAAATGGCATAAGAAAAGAAGGAATTCTGGACCATAAGGTGGTCTTCGCTCTAACGCGTCATGTTCTTTCATGTTCATGTTCATGTTGGTTTACCATGACCAGCGTTTGACATCGAATATAATCTGAATGAACCTTTTTGATAAGGGGAATTAAGTGAAGAGACAGAAATAGAGCGCGGTCGAAGCTTGAGGAAATAGCGTTTACCGCACAACAGTCGCAATAGATTATGGTCTATTGCAAGCAATTGAACTCTGATATACCGCCTTGATAGGTGGTTGTTTATGATTTCGAAGTGAATGAATAAGAAAAAAATTTGCGTCTTTTCTTAGATTTCTTGTGGCTCAACATTTTTTAGAGTACGTGGAATAAATGGAATAATCATAGGTCCTACCTTTAAGAGATTCTAGCAACATATATATGTGCGTATTTATATTTTTAATTACAAAGTATTTTCCGGCATATTAAAGTTTTGCATTTCTTCTACAACAACAATAAATTGTTATACAATTTTTCTTAAAAAAAACTATTTGAAAACACATAAAAAGACTTCCAGTTGTCGTTTTGAAGCTCACATTTCCACTTAGATCTTCATTTATTGTTGTTCAGTATATGTGTGTGTATATGCGTGTGTATAAACTGTCGTATGCGTATATAAGTAAAAAGCAAAGCTTTTCCCCTTTAGAGAAGGTTACGCTTTTAATTAACAAAGACCTCAGTCATATTCATTTGTTCACATATTATTCATACGCAATGATGTTCATAAAAAAAGTAAATATATATTCTGTAGATAGAAGAATGCACAATATATGTTCAACACTAGCTGGTGATTATCCAAGGCATCTGCAATGTTTTCTTGGTTATTTGATTTTTAACCATTTTTGAAACATTTTAAACTTCGCTTATTTATAAATTTTGGACTTTTGGAATGCTTTTTTCTTTTCTTTCTTTAATTAGAGAAAATGCCTGTTTTCTTAATTAAATACTTAATATCATGTTTAACAACTCAAAACAGTTCGTTGTTCAATTTATTTTTGTTTGTTTATTTATTATTATTATTATGGATTTTTTTTATTTTCATTTATGGTGCGTAATTTTTATTTATTTTCTTTTCTATTTCGCTCTAAACAATTCTGTTTTTTTTTTTTTAATTTTTCTTGTATTTGAATTTAATTTAATTTTATAATACTTCTTATAATATTTTTGCCGTTATTTTCTTTAATTTTTTCTTCACTAACGTTTGCCTGTCTTTGCTGCAATTTATCAACTAAAAGAAGTAAAAGTTTGGTTTTTCATGTCTAGTATGTCTTTTAAAGTTATGGTAAACTATAGTTAAAATCAGTTTGTAGTTTACCCCCTCTCTTGTTAAAATAAGTGGTGAAATTTCACTTCTACCAGATATTTCATACCACTGGCCATAATATAGTAAGCAGAGCGAAATAAGAGAAATCATAAAATAAGAGATGAGATGTGATTTTTTCATTTCTCTTTCTGCGTACAAGTCTCCCCAGTCAACAGGTGATTGACGTTGCCATGAAAGTTTTGTTTTTCTGTTAGTTCGGTAGTGGTGAGGTTTCATTACTACACTTACTCAGTACATTTTTAAAAACTTAAGTTCATTTGCTATCGTCACTAAAGCTATACGATATCGTTTAAAACTTAGATAATATATCCGACTAGCTGAACATTTTGTTTGATTTATTTCGGATCTTCGAGCCAGAAACGGGAAGTTCATAAAATCGTGACGAACATCATTTTCGTTCTGATCGCCGTATTTTGGTATATCTGCTCTATTGTGCAGTCACTGCGACTGATCTCTGCCTTCAGTTTACATGTTTAAAACATTCAAATATGCTTTGTATTAATTAGAGAAAAGTAACGTGAAGATAGAAATGCAAACAAAATATGCAACTCGGCACATTCATATAAATTTATCAGACATACTAAACTTGATCTTTGTTCTTTACTAGTGTCAGTTAAGAGTTAGGACAAATTATACCATTCACGTCTTCATGTTTATATAAAAAAATTCTGCTCAATATACGGCCACAGATATATAGAGATTTTTGCTTCCTTTCGGTGAATAAAGCAAATCGTTTTGTCAAATGCGTGCGTCATATCTGTAAACAAAAATGTTAACGTTAACATAGAAGAGAGTGTTTGGTTTTTACACCACTACTCGCATGCGAACAATAATAAACAATAGTAAACAATCATATACGCTTACTCTCAGATGTTGGCAATTTTTATACGCTTACTCTCAGATGTTACGAAATTCAGAGGCTTGAATTAACTCTATAATGGCGCAGGCCTAGTGGGCAGCCAGCCATTTAAAACAATTGGCAACGCGCATATCACGGTACCCCAAGGGTGGTGCGGAAAACCGTGAAAACCAGGCTCTGCAAATTCTTGCACTTTGCGGTTATGTGAAAGAAGCCTTCGATCTGGCTGTTTGTTTGTTCGTCCACGAAATGTCACATTATATACGCAGAATACACGACCGCTACAAGCAAATAGCCCCAGAAATCCAGTATGGTATTTGGCATCTATTTAACGTACAACTTTGAATTCTGGTTGAGTCCAGACTTCTAGTTAGCATACTTGTCGCGAGCGGATGGAAATCTGTCTAGAGCAAACATAGGATTCGTATTCGTTTCACTTATGAAAACAAGTCCGTGTTAGAAACAATTTGGCTACTATTCTTTCAACAAGAACACTGCGTCATCTCTGCAATGATTATAATCCTGTTCTTATTAAAATCAATCGTAACTTCAATTTAAAGTACAATTCTAATTCCACTCCCAAATGCAGAATTGCAATTGGAACACAACTTGGAATTTCCGCCCAACGGGGAAGAGAATTCTTTACGGTAATTCAATCTCAACGATTTCATCTGCTATTTGAAGGTCAGTAGTTTGCATTTGAATCTTACTAGAATTTCGACTCGAAAATATTGCAAATGTGTGCACAATGTGGTTCAAATATCTCTTACGCTTCTCCGTTCAAAGAATTACAATTTTCATTGTTTATTTAACGTACATAATTTTCCACGGTTACTGAGAACATGATAAGAACGATTATACTGTGTAGAACATTTCGCCGCTAGTAAGAAGCCATTGCTTGCGGATTATTCTGCGAAACGACGCAAATGTAATGATGCGTGAAATGGGTTAACTTAAACATCTTTACTTTTAAAATCAAATCTTTTTTTATATAACCACAATTCTCTCTTTTGTACAAAGAATTCACAGGTGACCCAGAATAACAGTAAATTCTCTTAAAGGCAGCCTGCACATCTACTGAGCCATCGGAGGCTAAATTTCCTACGTACATAAATCCTGCCTTTAAGAACTTGCAAGGTTTCTGTTAAACTTAAAGGCGATGTCTTAACTTTGCGGTCAGGAGAGCAGTTGCCACAAGTATTACATAGATGGATAAGCGCGCGTACTTAAATTCGTATCGAAAACGATTTGACAAAAAAAATTTCACGTCATTCTTCGGTGATGAATATAAAAAAAAACAAAGCGTTTGTATAGCATTACCTATAAAATTTTTTCTTCCAGTCACAGTTGTGGGAAAGAGTGAATTCAACAGACTGATGGGCTCGATATTCGCGATAATCCCTTCACTAGGAATTTTGAAGTGTCTTTGCTTGCAACCACCACAGGGCCCAATTTGTTTTTTCGTCCAATTTTCGTATAGAAAAATTGTTAATATTTTGAAATAACTTTCCCTTCAGTTTGGATTTGCAGCTCTTTGTATTATCATAATCTGCAATATTACCTAGCGCTGTTATTAAATATTAATGTCTTCCTCTTCACCCTTGTCAACGTAAATTTAATGTTATCGAGAATATAGAATAATAAGGTTAACGTTAATTACAAAATTTTTTAGTCGTGTATCTATCGCTCAGAATTCTTGGTATAACAATCTTACCATTAATTTATTAGATCTGCTCTTCTAGTATATTACGTTACATTAAAAAGTCAAGCGTATGTACGTATCTCTCTTGTATGTGGTAACCAATAGTTTATGTATATAGTTGGAATATTTCAGCGTGCGCCCGATACATTAAATGGCGTTTATTTCAACGGTTACTTTGGGCTTTGTAGCATCTCCAAAGAATTCACTAATTTTGATAAAACATATTGGCTTTACAAGAATATATTTTTGATATTGAGAACGCACCCATATAAATACATAAATTAAATATGAATATTGTTTGAATATTGTTTTTTGTATTTATTATTATTTATCAGTACGCACACATTATACAAACATTAACGTCCTTTGTTTTTCTTCTTTAGTATTATATATGTTCGTCTATATGTGCACATTCTTGCATTATATTTTTATACGTAAATGCATCGGCTCTATATACAACCACTGCTATCGGGACAAGTAACAATATATGTATCTAGCGTCTGAATGTTTTACAGGACTTTATTGCTATGATTTTTTCCTTTTGTTTTTTGCTGTCTTATTAGATTAACAAATTGTGCGTAATTTTATTTACTTTTATGTGTGTGCATGTGCATGTCTTTAATTGGAATTAAAAATGATGTACCGTGAGAAAAATGAACATCGCCGGTCTATTTTATTTATTTATTTATTTAACTATTATTTATTTATTTAACTAAAACAAAATGGCAGTCGAGTTCAATTGACTCTTAAGTAAATCTTAAAATTATTTAATAATAAAACTTAGTATAAGTACAATAAAACAAATAAGGAGAAAAAGAAAAAAAAAAAAAAGCATGTACACAATTAGCATAGAGCCACGCCCACAACCGATACAGGACCAAATTGCAAGTGAACCCCTAAGCCATCGCAAACATGCATAAGCTTGGCAACCGATAATTGTTAACAACAAATTAATTTTCGACTCATAATGACAAAATCTAAGGTTAAATCAGTTTAAGAACGACATAGGTAAATCGCGCTTGTTGAGCAATATTGCTTTAATGGACTTTAAAGAGTCCGTTAATGAGAATAGATGATAGACATCATTTAGGTTCTTGCAAACAACTCTGAGCGGGTTAAACAGTTCAAAGTTATATTTGCATTGACTAAGCTTTATCAACATAAAGTACCTAGAGAAGCGGTTAGGGACATTAAAGCAAATCTCACGAAGTAATGCGGGCGAATCAATTGCACCATTTATTAATTTGATTAGGAAAGAAACCCCAAGAACAAATCTACGTTTCTCGAGTGACGGTAAGGATAACAGAAGCAACCTATTTTCATAGGGTGGAAGAGGGGAAATCGGGTCCCAACCCAAATTCCTAAGTGCAAACAGCAAGAATTGCTTTTGTATAGATTCAATTGAACCAACGTAGCATCTATATGAAGGAGACCACACAACAGAGGCATACTCAAGAATAGGTCTAACCAAACACGTGTAAAGCCTTTTAGTAATATAAGGATCATCGAGCTCTTTGGACCACCTCTTTATAAAACCAAGAGCGGACCTAGCTTTGCTTAACGAGGACTCAATATGCAAATTGAAACGTAAGGATTTAACAAACTGAAGGTATCTGCAGTAGTATTGGTGGTTGAGGGAATTAAATTTATGCCTTGCAACAGAGTAAGCGAAATAGTCGAAAGAAGAACCACTTTTCGAAAATTTTTTGAACAACTTGGTTTTCCTATTCTTGTAGTATTTAATTGTCTTATTAAACCACGGGGGATCCTTACTTCGAGGACGGGACTGCTTGATCGGAACGGATGCAGAAATAGCTTGATTTAATACATTGTAGAACGACGACAGTAAGCTATCAATTCTTCCCTCAGAGAAATCGAGCACAAAATGAGAAAGATGTGATTTTAGTATGGAAACATTGATTTTATGGAAATCATAACGTTGATATGAAAAATTTGAATTTGGAACGTTATAGAGGTTCAACGAACCAACATACTTGTA